AAAAATGAAATTTTGCCATTTGCAACAACGCAGATAGGACTAGAGAGTACTATGCTAAGTGAAATAAAGTCAGTCAGAGAAAGACAATTATCATACGATCTCACTGATATGCACAACTTAAGAAACAAGGCAGAGGATCATAGGGGAAGAGAGGGAAAAAAATGAAACAAGAAGAAACCAGAGACGAAGACAAGTCATAAGAGACTCTTAATCACAGGAAATGAACTGAGGGTTGCTGGAGGGAAGGGGGGGTGAATGTATGGGGTAACTGGGTGACGGACACCGGGGAGGGCACGTGATGTAATGAGCACTGGGTATTATGTAAGACTGATGAATCACCGAACTCTGCCTCTGAAACTAATAATACTATATTTAATTGAATTTAAATTTTTAAAAAATTATGGCTTTAATTAATATTTAATATATTAGAGAGTGTTCACAGTATGTTTTAAGTGAAAAATAGGATGTTTCACAGCACTTTTTAGTAGAAGCTTATTTTTTTCAATGTATTTTGCAAATACAGGAACATACTTGAAGGAAAATATGATATAGTTTATAGAATGAAGTTTATTCTTCCCCATTTTTCCACAGTTTCTACATTTTTAAAAATAAACATGCATTACTTTTAGGATTCTAAAAGATATAAAAAGTGTTTTGTTTTTAATATGTATTGTCAATGAAAATTTTTAAAAAATAATAAATGATCAGTCTTGCCCCTTTTATGAGTAAAAGGACATATATTTCTGAAAAGATCTCTGAATCTATACCAATATTTTCAAAAGCACCAAATTTTTTATTCTCTTTAAGAGAGGCTTTTTCTGACCTCAGCTTGTCCCTCACACTTTCTCCCTTAATGCAGGCTGTTCCTGGTTGGAATGCTGACAATTGTCCTACAGCTCCAAAACACCTGTGAGGGCCGAGTGTGCTCAGCAGAAGAGTCACGCTCTTTCTTACTGATCATTTCTGTAACAGTTTTCCGAGCCAAGGATCAGGAAATGAAGAAACGATTAGGTATTATGGACACTTGAGTCCTTGGGGCTCCATAGCACCAAATGCCACTGGGCACATAACACTGCCTCCTTCGCCCCTAGAAGCTCATTAGTTCTGAAAATCAGGACTAGATCCAGGGTTATTGTGAACCAGAAGGCCTCCTCCCCCACAGAGGCCAAGCAATTTTAGAGAAGCACAAGGACTCTTGTTCTTCTCTAGGATGGTACAGACTATTCCATGTGTCTTGGACTCAAGAGAATTGGCTTGTTTTCTTCAGAGAAGACCTACGTACTTGGCATGAGAACAGGAAGTGAATTGATGTGCACAGGTCAACCTTGCCATGCCTGCTCTCCACAGCCTTTCCGCAGTACGCCCAGAGATGAATCTGAGCTGCTACTTGGTCCGGCTTCAGGGTGGGCATGGCAGAGGACCAGGTCAGAGCTTGTCATGCCATTTGCTCTATGGCCTGAGACCCAGCAGGAGTCCTAGGCTCCCATTCAGTTCCCATCTCTGGAGCTCAAAGCTGTCAGCTGGAAGGCAGCTGTTCACTTTGGCAATTAGTTCTCCGAAGGTGAAAGGAAGCAGGTATACCCGTAGTTAGCGATGGAAGTGGGTGCCACACATCCAGCAGAGTCCCACCCAGCACCCTCAGAGCACTGTGACACTCAGGCAGGAAACGAAACCCACCTCATAAGACGTTCTGATGAGTCTGAAGATGTCTACCTCAGGGTAGGGCTCCACGTCATCACTGAGCAGGGAGTGGAGGTGAGGGATGGGAGGCAGCGTGCTGTCTTTGTTGGTCACACTGTCTAAATACCTGAACAAAGAAATGAATCAGAAGTCACCAGAGGCTAGTTAGGAATTCTCCCATTATAGTTCTCTACCTGTGTTCTACAAACTCAGCATTTTAGAAAAGACTAGACTTTCCTTAAGAACAGAATGAAATTCTTCTGGAGACGCAGTGCATGAAAATAAATCCTCAGCCACAGACAAAAGTTGGTGCTCTGATTTCCATCAAGCCCATTAAGACTCAGGAAACCAAGGAGAAAGATAGAAGGTGAATTCTAAGAAGAAACCAGAGGTGGTTTTCAAAGCGAGGCTTAAGGGACACCTCGGTGGCTCATTCGGTTCAGCACCTGACTCATGATTTTGGCTCAGGTCATGATCTCAGGGTCATGAGATCAAGCCCCGAGGCTCCGCATGGAGTCTGCCTGTCCCTCTTCCTCTGCTCCTCCCCCTGCTTGCGTAAGCTCTCTCTCTCAAATAAATAAAATCTTTTAAAAACAATAACAACAGCGAAGTAAGGCTTTGTCCATTACCTTCCCAAAACGGTCATGGCCTCCCCGTCGTCCTTGCAACTCAACAGCTTGTCCACGTTCGCATCCAGCACAGCCAGGGCCAACTGGAATATCACCTTGATTCCTTCATAGAAGAAACAGTCCACGACCACAACTGCACTCTCAAAGGGCATCACGCTGAGAAACAGCGTGAGGAACCAAGACAGGGAGATGGTAGAAATCACGCCCAGGTCCTGCATGCAGTCATACAGCTGGGGGACATAGTCTCGTGCTAGTTCCTCGAAGACACCCTGGTCCACCAGTGCGCCTGCAGCAGGGGCGGGCACAAAAGGCCACAGGTGAACCCACCACACCTTCTTTCTGAGGGACCCCACCAATCGGCCTGGTTAAGACAGTTGAGCTCCTAGCTGCCGCTGAGACAACTTGGCTCCTTTCTCTTGACAGTTCTGCTGCTACCCTGATATTAGTTACTATGTTACTAGACCAAGGTGTCAACACACTGCGGTCAGCAGATTAGTTCTGGGTGCTTCTTCTTCTCCTTCCAGTTTTCCTGCCCTGCTTCCCTACCACAAAAGGGCAGTAACACCACCATAAGGGTTGTTGGAAAAGTCAGTTTAGAAAGATCTCATTGTGTGGTTAGGCATGAAACATACAGGACTCCATTTCTTGGCAAACTTACTTAAAAAAAATAAGTAGCTTTTCTGGATGAACTATCCCCACATATGAGTTTTGTGGGGTTTTTCTGTTTTTTTGTTTGTTTGTTTTAATTCATGTTTTTAAACCTGAAAAGCATTCCAGCAGTGCCTGGCTGGCTTGGTCGGTAAATATGAGACTGCTTATCTCGGGACTTTAAGCTCGAGGCCCACGTTGAATGTAGAGATTACTTAAAAAAGAAAAAAAATTCTAAAAAAAAAAAAAAAAAGCATTCCAGTTGTACATACACACTCATGATCAACTTACTGGTATTTCTGGAGAATTTTCCCAGTGAATCATATTAGTGTGAAAAGGCTTAGAAATGAGCACAAGAGGGAAGCATAAAGCATACACTTTACTACTAGCAATAAAAAGCTTGTCCTGCTGAAATGGAATGTCTAACACTCAAGAGGATTATAAGGAGTAAGAGTGATACTTTGTTTAAATGCTTACAGTCATGGTTTGCCTTGCAATGAAATCAGTTCTGAAAAATACTGCAGGAACTTAGTTTGGGGTACATTTTTATATGCTTTTTTTTTTTTAACATACTTAAGCTGTCCACAGATTCCATCCGCTTCATGAAAACATTTTTTGTCAAATCTGATGAGTTTGGTACAGTTCCCAATGCCACAGTGACACCTACACTGAGTGTTTTCTACAATAATTTCTCCAACAGTGATACATGTGTATTCTCTTAAGCTCCATGGGGCTCCTTTATGTACAATCCATATGAATTGAAGCCCCCTCATTCCCATTTTGGGAAACTGGAGTAGTCTGAAACTCTTTTGGCTAAGGGTGACTGGAAACGGTGTTCTAGCCCGTATCCTGGCTCTGGAAACATCTTCGCGATGAGACGTGGGTTAACATGTTAACCACCTCCCCACATACCAACAACTCTGGTGTTGTAGTAATCAGGAAGCATGCGCTCACACAGAGCCACCAGCAGCCAGAAAGCTTCCTCCTCTTTGGCATAAAGCAGCAGCACGGATGTGACAATATTCATGGCCTGAAGGCATGAAAAAGGGTGTCATCAAATAGATTTTAAATACATCAAACACAGGTTAACATAAGAAATTTTGTGAACCTAAAAAATCACTGAGTTAGTCTCACAGGGCCAGCAAACTTTTTCAGCAGAAGGCGAGATAATTAACACCTAAAGGATCTGCAAGGTCCACACGCATATTCGTCTAAATTTTGTTTGGTTTTTATAATTTAGAGCCCCTTAAAAATGTACCAACTGTTAGTCCTTGAGCCTGCAACTCTTGAATCTTGATGAACAACAATACTTACCAAAGACCGAGCCCTGACACACAGGCATGCCCTCATTCAAAACCTTTGCCTGAAGGCTATCTGACCAAGCTTTTAACCTGCTACAATCTCAGTGTTTCTAACCCTTCATTCACAAGATAAACATTTCCTTTTTAATCTTCCATAATGGTTCCTATAACCCAGTACACATGGCCTGGAGGCTCTCCTCTGAGAACAATAAAACCTTTCAAATTTGGAGTCTTCACCCACTATTTTCATCTGGATAAGGATGGCAGAGATAAGTAACAGTGATTTAAATTCTAAAATAACCCACTTTATTAAAAGATATGATCACCTAGCTCATAACCACTCAGGGCTCAACTATTTTAATAGTCCTCTTAATTAAAAAGAGAAAGATCAAAGGATAAATATGATTTCTATAATTGCAGAGGCCAACTAACTCCTGGACTTCCTTTTGATCTTTTATAAACCAGTAATTGCTCGTGGGACTTCTACAGTATAAATACCAAAAAAAAAAAAAAAAAAAAGGATTTTTGGTCTAATAGGCTTTTTCTTTCTTGTAAGTCATAGAAATCATTAATAAAATTCTGCTTGAGAATTAACCTGCCGATTCTAGTACACGATCACGGTCACCGTTAGCTCCTTAGTCATTCAGTCAAGTTAAGTTTATAACAGGCTCTGGACGAAGTACTGGGGAATAGGAAGGGGGGTGATATAGTGGTGAAAAGTCTCACAGGACTTAAATGCTGATGTCAGAGAGACAGAATAAAGATGTAAAGGTTAATCAGTTTGGGGGTGTATTTAAGTTAAGTGCTATCAAAGAGATTAAATAAAGTGGTATAGAAAGACCTATACTGTGTGTGTGTGTGTGTGTGTGTGTGTGTGTGTGTGTGCACGCAGAGGAATTAAGCATCCTTTAGCATTTATCTATCTACCTATCTAGCTTTCCCTCTATTTTTGTGTTCAACATTTAGTAAAAAATATATATTTATAATATATTATAAATATACTACAATATATTTATATAATTATATTATACCATATATAATATATATCATAATATATATCCATCTTTCTGGATGGGAGACGTTTGAGGTATTTGTCAACATAGTTGACAAATCGCTAGTTATGATTTCACATTTTTTTTGAGTACAGTTGATTCAAGTCTCTACCTTAGGCTACATTCATCACAAGCGTCCTGACAGCTACACTGATACATGGCTATCACAGTATCAATGACTGTATTCCTTATGCTATGTCTTCTATTCCCATCACTTACGGACTCCATTACTGAAGGCCTATATTTCCCACTAAAATATGGAACGCTTCCCATATTCGCATGTCGTCCTTGCACAGGGGTCATGCTAATCTCTGTATCGTTGCAATTTTGGTACCCATGCTGCTGAAGCGAGCACAAGCCTGCTTTAGCTTTTAACTGGATGGTCCAAGAAGGCCTCTCTGAATATGTGGTCTTTAAGTCTAGAGTCAAACGATCTTGGAGCTTCCCTAATTGTGGTGGATGTATTAGTACAAGAGATAATTTTAGCTGCTTTGGGGGCAACATTTTTTGAACACCAATTAAGCATTTATTTTAATGGGTATTAAAGTATAATCATAGCATATAAAAGTTACATTCTCAAGTATGTTCTTACTTAGAAGGCAGGGCAGAAGCACCGTGGAATTCAGAATCCAGAATTACAGGCCAGGTGCTCAGGCACACTCTCTTTTACCTCCGGGAGGGAAGAGAGGCAGCTCGGAGAGTAATCAGAAGCACCTTGAAGGTCACCCATATATGAGGTGGTGGATCTGGAAAGGGTGTTCTTGTCTCCCAGCTCCTCCGCTCAGTGCTGGGGTCTCAACCCAGGGAGATTTTGCTCCCCAGGGGCTATCTGGCAATGTTTAAAGGCAGTTTGGCTGTCCCAACTAGGGAGTTTGTGGAGAGAGGTTATTAAATGTGTTACTAAACAGGAAAACATCCTCCAAAGCATGGGACAACTCCGAACAAAGAATTACCCAGACCACGAGGTCTCTAGTGCCAAGGTCAAGAAACTTAGGTGCAGGGATGGTTCTGTTAACCATTCCTCTTACTGACTTGCTGGTTAACAAACAGTCCAAAAAAAAAAAAAAAAGAAAAAAAATCTAAACCACCTGTGTCATTTACCTGGCAATATCCTATGTTAGGATTTCGAAAAGCATAAGCTGTTAAGACTCTCCTTAGAGCAGCAATGCCCATTTCATTCTGGAAAGCTGGGTGTTCTGGAAGGGAGCGGTGTAAATCCCTCTCAATCTCCTCTGTGGCAAGATTATACTTCCCCATGGACTTCTCCACTAGGTCTTCGTAGTACCCGGGATGCGTGGCCTTCTCATTGATGGCACCTAGGAAATACCCAACAGATACAACATCCAAAGGGGCGGGCCCTGCCCTCGGTCACAAACACAACTGACCAAGTGAACCTTTTCGTGTTCCTTACCACGCAAAGGACACCTGCGAGATAACGACAGCCCGCGGGTGAGGTGGGCTGTTGCAACTGCGGCCAGTTTGGTAAATTTACTTGCGGCCTGCTGCCCTCCTTCAGCTCCACCATAAGCCAAATTAGAGGTCCGCAAGCTAAACATCTGTGTTTCACAGAACTTCCACGGATGATCCAGGGGCTACTTTAGGGAAGAGGAGGAAGGAACGCAAATAAACCAAAGCATCTTCGTCTCAGCCAGAGCAGTTTTGCTGGTATTTTACTAGGGTTCTCCTTAAGATTTCCCTTGAAAAAGAAAGTTCTGCCTCCCCAAATAAGTTTGAAAACCGAACGCAAAAGCATAGGGTTTGAAGAGTTCAAACAGCCATACTGAGGAGTAGAGGAGGTGTTACAATGTATGCAAGGATTTTAGAGCTGCAGTGGGTGGTGTGGGCATTCCTCACAGTGAGCACGTTATGGCTGCCAGTTTCTCAGGTGTTGGGGATGGGCATGGAGAAATGGGCTGAGAATCACTGGTTTGAGATATTTGCATATTAAGATTCTTAAAGGCAGAAAACACTGTATAAAAATATCCAAATCTAAATAAATAGAACTTATGTAATTATAAATACATAGACAGACACAAATACACATATAACACACACACACACACACACACACACACACACACACACACACTAAATGACAAGATAAACTGACCTGTGTTTCACGGATTAGAAACTAGAACCCCTGGGCTGGCCTGGACCGTGTTAATGACAACCACCCAGAAGAGACAACCTTACCACTCATACTTACCCTGGAAAAGGCATTTGGGTTGACAGCAACTTAACACTGGCTTTCGCTTTGTTCTCAAGGGAGATATGCAAAGATATCATATCTTCTGGCTGGCACTTTACTTCACTGGGTGCACTGAGCCTGGTCCTGGTATAGTGACCCTAGAGTCTCAGGGAGCAGGACAGGACCCAGGCGGGGCTCCCAGACCAGGAGCTGGGCTCTGCCCATGGATGAGCTGGCTTGCATCCTACCACACGTATCCCGCCCCCGGTGAGCTGGGTGGAAATACGAGCTGTAGGCCGCCCCACCCCTGGCCTCACATCGTCCATCACCGTTCAAGAAAATATACAGTCCAACTCTCTATGTGTCTCTACAACAGTGCTGTGTACTATTATGTACTATTTCTTGGCTTTCACTTTGAGTTTCATTTTCATCCAAAATGGGGCTGCAAGTAACTTCTAATTTGAATGAGGATGAAAACAGAATTTTTCATTTACTGGATCAGTGATCTGAATGAGTCTGTTAAGGTGACTAGCCCCCAAACACAAGGAAGACGGAAGACAGGATGGTAAGGCTCTTCTTGGGTTGGGTTTGTAATCAGATATCATTTGACTCAAATTTGGATTTCTAGATGAGGAGCTAAGGCTCATCTACTTAAGGAAAATAAGCCAGGTAAATGAGGCTAGAACAAGCTAGTTTTCTATGAAACAGATAAAGCCAATTATTTTTTAGGATTCTACCCCCCCAACTGCTGAGACGTTAATACATCTCATCACAGGCAATTACCAGTAATAGCTGTTTTTAGAAAGAGCTATGAGTTTGTTTGGTTGGTTTTTTAAAAAGGCTTTCCTGTAAGTGTGGCAACTATTCTTTTAATTTTGATGTCGTTTAAAATAAAAGGTTTTGATAACAGCACTTGTGTTGGACCATCTTAGGTTCAAATAAAAATATTCACATAAGTTTATCTAACATGATTATATTTCAGGCCTCTAGTCAGTAAAGCAATTGACTTATAAAGATTGGTGACAAAACAAAAAAATTCCCTGGACGTTCATGACAGAACAGACCCCTGGGACACACTGGATGCTTTGGGCCAGGAGGCAGGCATGCTGGGGCTAGCCTGAAGAACCTACAGTCTGAAGCAGGACTCAAATGTCTGACCCCACAGGGCTCTGCTGGGGCTGTGCACCAGTGAAGGCGGCCACATTCTTCCCACGGCTCCTTGACACACCCCCCTCCGTCCTTCCTGGTGTCTCCAGCTTAGAGTATAAGTGTGGTCTAAGCCTCCAGTTCTGGCTCACATTCTGGCTTCTCTTTCACATCTTCAAGTGACAACCACCAAATTCAGGAGATGGCAAACACCAAGGACAAGGCTTTCTCATTCCTCCCTCTCCCTGCTTCAATGGGGCTCTGACCACGTGCCGCCCTTAAGCATTCTCAATGAGATATATTCTCGTCATGTGTTCTCATCAATGGACACAGCCAGGAAAAGGCAAAAAACAAACAAACAAACAAAAAAACCCAACAACAACAAACTCCTCAAATCACAAAGAATTATACGCTTTCCCATAGGTTCTCTTTTCTCCTATGTAGTGTTAGTGAAGGGGTGGAAGAGGTTATGCAGACTTGGAGGATGATGGCTTCCATATCTGGACAGTTGTATATGTGTTCTGTGTTTTCACTGAGGGACTGTAACACTTGGGGCAGGAAAGGCTATTTAGTGCTGAAGGGCAGTGCTGCATTTTTGAAAGAGCCCAGATGCATGACGGGAGGCAGAAAAGTAGCGCTGAGGTCCCGCCCACCCCAGGGTAAGGGCCCCCAGCCCAAGCCCGGCTGTACCTGACAGCAGCAGCCAGAGCTCTCCACGCATGCTCTCCGGTATACCCTTCAACACCAGTTCCCGCGTTTTTTCTGTGCGATACATGCAGATCCCTTGCCCGTACTCAGCAAAGTGAATTTTCCAAGCTTGCTCCTTCAAAAACTCTTTGGCCTGAAAGGAATAAATGAAACATTACTACATCCCCAAGTACTTTGAGGATGGAAAGGGGAAGTTGGGCAGAAAGGCAGAATATCTCCCCTACTGAATAGAGTCGTTATGTTCTGGACAGAGCTCTGGGGAACAAAGAACTCAGATTTTCCGCAGTCCTTCCTTCATTTGACATGTGAACCTAATTTGAAGGCTGGGTTCTGCTTTGAAGCTTTCTGGCCCTGAATCAGAATTCCATTTACCTCAAATGGGTCAGCAGAATGTGAATTTATGGCTTTATGTAGTGAAAATGACTTGGGTGTTTTTGAAATGTGCGCTGAGAAATTATGTACCTACTTGTTGGCTGACTCAAACAATAGTTAAAAACAAGACAAAAGCCCACATGGAGCCCTGCATCAGGCTCTCTGCTCAGCAGGGAGTCTGCTTCTCCCTCTCTACCTGCCTCTCCCCCAGCTCATGGTATCTCTCAAATAAATAAATAAAATCTTTGATAAGAAAAAAAAAGAAGACAAAATGTCACCTGTATGCTGTATAACTCATCTCCTTCTGTGAAGCCATTCTAAAATCCAATGAGAGATTTAGATAAAAATCTATTTTGCTTATAGGAAAATATTTATTTACACAGATATTTATGAGTTAACTTTGATTAAAAAACCTTTTTAAATGTTATTGTTCTAGGGGCACCTGGGTGGCTCAGCCGTTAAGTGTCTGACTTCAGCTCTGGTCATGATCCCGGGGTCCTGGGATCAAGCCCCGCACTGGGCTCCCTGCTCCTTGGGGAGCCTGCTTCTCCCTCTCCCACTCCCCCTGCTGTGTTCCCTCTCTCACTGTCTCTCTCTATCCAATAAGTGAAATCTTTAAAAAATAAATCAATCACTGTGATTGTTCTAATAAAGTTTCAGGCAAGAGCAGGAGACACCCACCAGTTTCGGGTTGAACTCCTCTGGGGACCGCCGCCGGTACATGGTCATCAGGGTCTGTGTGGCTGTGGGGACACTGTTGCCATTCAGGTTAAACTGGCGCTCTCCGTCGGCATCAGAGCTCGTGCTTCTCTGAGGACTGGAGGAGACGAGGCTGCTAGGCCGAGAACACACCTGCCGACACACAGAGGAACAGACGCTGAAACAGCACAGGCCACACAACCCACTTTTTCAGTGTCCTCTGCACAGACCCAGTAGCTGCATCACGGTGCCCAACAGGTCTCTCACTACGTGAAAACACAGGAGGAAGGAAGAAAGCCAGTGCTTTGGCAGAGATGAGACAGGTGTGCTGGTCCTAGGCCATGAAACCGCAATGCTCAAAACAGGTCTCCTCTTATTTTGGATGCATTTTTGCAGCAAACTGGTTGGCTGTTAGTTTCTGATTAGCATGCCAGGAAACATGACACGGCTGAATCAGCTGCTTATGGGGCACCTCCTCGTGCCCGCTCTAGTTTCTGATGCTCCCATGAGCTTGGACCAGGTGGACTGGGGCGGGCTTGCTCCCTGTGAGGTCACCATCTTTATAGTACATTTCAGCTGCCAGTAATTGCTCTGTCATTTGTGCTGGACACCTATCTTCCCAGACTCTGACTTCCCTGGATGTTGCCCAGGGCCTAATTTGAAAGGGACACAATATGTATTTGATCATAATAAAGTCATCATCATGATGTTGCATCTCAGATTCGAGACTACAGTGACCTCTGTACACTCCCAACAATGTCACTATGTGGAAACTGTTGCATAAACAGGACCAATTACTTAGTAATTTCTTCAACTATGAAATACGGTTAGACCAGATGATCTACAGGGCTCTGTCCAGCTCTGTGATCCCAAAGACAAACTCCAGAGCTGAGACACTGCTCTGGGCATCAGGGTAAGTGCCTTATCTTAGCACAGCTTGAGGATCCAACAGAATGGACAAGGAGGGCCCACTCTCAGGCAGAGCACTAGGACGAATGCAAACACCCTCAGGCAGATCCCACAGACCTCATCATCTGAGCTGTTGTAGCTGCCTGCAAACTCCTTGTCAGAGTATATTTTGGAGGTCGTCTGCTGCAGGAAATCCGAGATCCTCTGCACTAGAAAGTCTCTATCTTTCAAATTGGCAAACAGGAAGGTCATCCTGTTCCTGGTGCTGATGGATAAAGGACTGGGGAGTACGCTGGAGCTGTCTGCCTTTTCCACAATTGTCACCTGAAAGAAACGTGAAACAAAGAGCATTGTTTTCCAGGGATCACAGCAGCCTCTGAGCAGCACCAAACAAGGAACGCAACACTTCTACGTTCTGTAGGAACCACTCCATCTTACTGAGGCAAAGATGAGACTCTCTGCCTCTGCGCCAGTAAAATAGAATCGCTCCTAACAACTCAAATTGGAGTTCATATCAGAAGCTGGAATTATTGTGCTGGTCTTTCTAAATCAGCAATTCTACCTCGGGAGGGATTTTGTTCCCCTGGAGACATCTGGCAACATCTAGAGGTGTTTCTGGTTGTCAGAAGTGGAGGGGACCAGCAGCATCCAGTAGGTGGAGGCCAGGGATGTCACTGGCCAGCGTGCAGTGCAGAACAGCTGACCCCCAACAGAGTCTGGCCCACGATGTCAACAGGGCTAAGGTTTAGAAAACTCTTTGTGAAGAAACTCCCTGATATTCATCAACATTGCACGAGTCCTAAGGGAGAGGACTCCTCACTGCCCCATCATGCCTAAGAGAAGCAACCCGTGATACTCGTGCCTTTTTACCAAGCTTCATGTTGGGATGGTTTTCAAAACCTCACTCATCTTTCAAACGTCTCCTTCGAACTCCAGGGCTTTGCAACCTCTCCTCCTACCACCTGATCGTTTTAAAAGCTCCATTCGAAACAGACAGGAGGTAAACAGCTTAATCCCACCCCCACCGGCAATGGCGGACCATGTGCGCATGCGTGTGGTGAAGTAAATCGACCACATGAGGAAATGAGCAAGAAAGAAGCATGTATGTTCTAGCTCTGAACTGAAGACATGCAGTTGGGGCTTTAGAATAGGATTTTCATCAATTAGAAACCAGGGTAAATGCATGAAAATATTTTTCTTTACCACATAGGGAAAAAAAAAAATCTCAAGGCCAGCCCTAGATAAATGGTTTACTTGCAGCAGCTCTGACTATATCCTTGAAGTTCAGTTTCTCTTCCCCTCTTCATTTCCATCTGTAAGCAGTCTGGACAGGTTCAACTCTACTTCATGAACATTTTCATGTAAAATACATTTTCTCCAAAGCAGAATTTTAAAAATCCTTTTCCCCTTCAAGGCAAGAAACCTGTTGGAGTTGCCCAAAAAGTTGAATGGCCCCAAGTGTAAAATGGGGACAACTGGGATCCACAGAGGGAAAACTGCAGGATCTGATGTCTACTCTAGGATTTTATCAATACATATATCCACACACACACACACACACAAACACACACACACACACACACACACACATTCTTTTAAAAAGCATTTTATTTATTTGAAAGAGAGAGAGTGAGTGGGAGGGAGAGACAGTCTGAGGGAGACTCTGTGCTAAGCACAGAGCCTGACATGGGGCTTGATCCCACGACCCCAAGACCATGACTTGAGCTAAAACCAAGACTCGGACGCTTAATCAACTGAGCCACCCAGGTGCCCCTATATTTATATACTTTTAAAGGAATGTATTGAGGTACTTGGAGTTGTACGTAGAAGTGGGGTTTTTTCCTAATGCAAAAGCAGAGAAATGGCAAAAAAATTTATCATGAATTTTCCCATGGCACTTAAAACATGCTAAACAATACCTATTTTTAAAAGACCTATGAAAACTCCTTTTTTTACAACATTTTTTAAAAAAATTCTTTTGTTCACCAGATGTCTCAGACCAAATGACAAATGCCAAGGGAACTAAAGGCTCAAGTTTCACACCCAAAACCCAGAGAGCCATGTGGATCTTGATGAGGTCAAAGTGAAAGTCCTTTAGCTAGATCACAAATACACAAACCACCCGAAAGCTCCTACATAAAACATGAATGCTCATATGCACTACAAAATAATTTTTGCTGACAGATTATTTCTGGTAGAATCCGATCCCATAAGCTCAGTGACACCAGCAAAGGGTAACAGCCACATTTGAGTATTCTAGTTTAATGAGGCACATTTCATTACCAACTTGGGTTATAAAAATAGACTGGAATTTAGGCAAAGCTTTATGTTTCATATGTAATATCTGCAAGGTAATTTATGATTTTTAGAAAAAGAGAGATTTCATCTGGAATCTTTACCTAAAGAAGAACCTGATCTGTTCACTTTATCTCCCTGCTTTGCAATTTCTTCAAAATCTGTAGTAACGTGATTCTGTGTCTATTTGATCTACCTTAAGTCTATCTGTGGAATATACATGAACAATCTCCAGTCAATATTTTAGTTTAGGTTGTAAAAAATTAAATGAAACAACAATTCCTAGTTTATTATCATCCTAAAGTAGCCATTTCGAGTAGGATGTTGCCATGAAGGCTGCTACTCATCAATCAGCTTAACTGGGGTCTAAAAGGTACCCAGTTCACGGAGAGATGCCTCTCCACTCAGACAGACCCTATGTTGGGGGCAGGGCGGGGAGAGGGGGGAGAGGAAGGAGACCACCCCGTCGCTTTTCTGTCATTAAGGTAACATAAAGGTTGTAAAAGGTACATTGAGTCCTTTGCTTCCTCCATTAGTTGGGATTAGGGAATCTGTCCTCATCCGTCTTGGAGATCCATCAGGTTAAGGGAAGCCCACTGCTGCCTTCTTTAAAGTTGCATCCACCAACCATAACACGCTTTATTTCTCGATGCTACTACTTCCACTATTGTTCCTCCTCTGATTTACCCTGAAATACAACCGAGTGATCTCTGCTCTACCAGCTGTTAGGGAAAACAAGCAAGCCAGAAACGGGCTGAGAATATCAACCCCCATTCTCCCAGTTGCCCTGAACTCTCACTATCATACTGGATCCGGCACTGAACGGTGAAGAGCGGTGAACAGGAGAGCAGACAGCAGACATCCCGACCCCTCCCCACTCCTCATCTCCCTTCGGATCAACCGTGATGACTCGCTCCATCCACCAGTACAGAGCCTTCATCCTGGAACGGGTAGCCCTAGCTGTTGCAGGTAACTTGCTTTGGGGTCGTATGTGATGGAAGAAAACTAGAAATGAAGAAAATTAAGTTTGGCAACAGTCTATGGCAAAGAAGGTCCATTTGCTGGCAAAAGTTACGAAATCCATTCCAGAGCCAAATGTAGTACTTGCCGAATTATCCGCCTCAAAACTGACCCCCACCACGTATCTCCTCAAACAATGTCACAACACCAGTTAGCTCATCTTAGAAGAAGTGGAACCAGATTTGTCAACTGCCTACGTTTTGCATTCTTTTGGACCCACCCATTCAGCTTCTAGGAACTTATAATTCATACTTGAAGCAAAAATCATACATATAACTGGAAGAAAACTAAAAACAATGCACAGGTCTAACCACAAGTAACTAAAATTTTATAGATCCAGTTAATAGAATTAGAGGCAGTCATTTAAAACGGTACTATCAAAGAGCATTGAATGATACAGGGGAAAGTTTAATATACACTCAGTGTTGGGGGAAATAAGCAAAAACTAAAAATTCACTATGTTTTATAGCTAAAGAATATAAATGACATACACAGCCAAGTATAGAAAAAGCCTGGGTACAGCTGTACAGCTGAATAATGGGCTATCTGACCGGTGGGACTAGGGATGTATTTTATTTTCCTTTGATTTGTACTTTCACAAATTTTCTGTGGTAATGGTGAATTATTATTTAAACAAAAGAAAATAACAACAACAATAAGAAAAAACCCCAAAAATCTGTTTATATAAATGTTCTCTCTGAAATAGAAAAGAAGGCAGAGGGATACTTGAATCCTTTACGCTAGGGAATCTTAACCAAGGGTCAATCTTAATTACATAACCAAAGTTTCTAACCACCCTTCACTTTTAGAAAAGGACCAGGGCAGGTTAAAGTGGTCTCCGGGACTAGAAGCTGTAGGACTTCCAGCCCCCAGCAGCCTAACCTGGAGCTCCTTCTCAACTCCAAACCTCAAGGCAAGGTCTCCCTGTAAGTCCCAGAACCACCTAGCACCGTGGAGATAGGACAGAAGCCACCTCCTCCCCTGAAACAGTAAGAATGTGGAGAGAGTAAGAATGTACAATGTCTTCATTGTGCAGGAGGATGGGCCTGGGACTTTATTAAAATACAGATTCCAGAATTTGCAGGTCGGGCTCAGGAGCCTGCTCCTATGGCCAGCAGCCCCGTGGTTCTCTTGCTGGTAACTGGCAGACCCAAGCTGACGCCTGGCTTTCTGATTCACAATCTAGACCCTTCCCTTGGGACTAAGCTGCTCTCTGGCTGTGGGCAGGTATAGTAACAACATTTTCTCGATTTTGTATTTGAGGCTTTGATACCCTTGCAGAACCTGGCAGGGCCACCTTCCCAAAGTTGGCCAACTCCTAGAGATAATAAAGGACTCACCTGGGAGCACGACAATCCTATGCAAACCAAGTGTGCAGAGCCCCCCACACTGCCTCCACCGCCTTTAATCCAGCTCTCACACTCAGGGTCAATGACTCTTGTTCTAGTCACCCCGGGGGCGGGGGCAGATCCCAGATAGCTATGGATGGCCCCTATGCCCCAGAGCCTGCTGAAATTATTCCAGCCAGCCCATTCTAAACCTGCTTACCCTGCCTCGCCTGTTTCTTCCCATAGGAATCACATTAAAGGCCCTTGCCCCCGTTTCTCGACTCCCTCTGCCTATGGACCAACCGTGGTGCTTCCCCAGTGGGTCCCCACAGCCTCTCCCAGAAGGATGGTGAATACAACAAGCTCTTTCCAGTGGCAGCCACCTCCTGATGTGTTGGCCTCACCACACCTGAATAACAGTAAAATCTCCATTTTAAAACTCTAGGCTGGAGGCGCTTGGGTGGCTCAGCATGATCCCGGGGTCCTGTCCTGGGATCGAGTCCCGCATCAGGCTCCCTGCTCAGTGGGGAGTCTGCTTCTCCCTCTTCCCTTGTCCCTCCCCACTACTGAAGCTCCCTCTTGCGCTCTCTCTCTCTCAAATAAAGAAATAAAATCTTTAAAAAGCCCAAAAAACTCCAGGCTGCCTTTTCTAGGAAGAAAAGCTCTTTCAAGTCACCAACAGCAATGACAACACACAAAAGGAAGCGTCCGGGGCCACCAAAGAATTACAAACATTCACCTAAGGTTTTTTTTAAAAAAAAAAAAAAAAAAAAAAAAGGTGAAATGCTGGTAAAAACATCTGTGATTCACACAGAAAAGTATTACAAAGGAAACACTTAGGAGACCCACTTTCACCCGACACACACCTCACGGAGTGGGATGATGAGGCTACACACGTTCTCCCCCTTGCTGGTGAAGCAGATGTAATTCGTGGACACAAACATCTGCCCCAAAATGTGCATTTTGTTGAATGGAGTCCAGAGGGTGCAGTCCGTGTGGCCGTCCAGTTTTTCATCTTTGGGCAGCCGGAAGAGTGCACGGTACCTCTCGCTCTTCGCCCTGGCATCGAGATCGCTGGAAGGCAAGAACAGCATCACCTTGCACGAGAGAAACGTTTCAGTGGCGTCTGAAGGATGCAGCAGGGAGGTCTCGCAGCCCAGCTCTCCGCTTCTCCGCCCTGTCACTCATCCCCACCTTCTTGGCTTTCTACTGGAGCTAACCCCAACCTGTGACCCAGAAGCACAACAGAATTACTTTAATCTACATAGGTCCCATGGGCAGTCATTTTACAATCAGTATCTGTAAATGTTGAAGACATCTGTGGAAGACTAGGCCTGGATAGGAAATCCACTGTTCTCTAAAGGAATGTGGTAATTTCTAAAGAGATTATTACATTCATACTTCTCCAGAGCCACTTTTGGGGCCTTAACTCTTAAGAAAGACCTAAGGAGAGTGCAAACAAGCCTCATGAATCTCCTGGCTATCACGGTCTGCCCTAAAAAGACAACAAAACTGCCTGAAACACAGGAACAACCCACTTCTTGTCCCTTTGAGTTTCCAACCTCAGCTCAGTTTTTCTCCCCTTTTTCCTGTTTATCAAGTCAGTTGTTCAAACCTCTCAAGCTTCTATGCCACCTCAGCCGCTGGGTGGGAGAGTCTCTGGCTTCCCAGAACAAAGCCAGGCTCCCCCTGCCCCGCCTCTGGTGCCCTCCCTTTTACCGCCAATTTGCTTCCATCCTCACCTGCTCTTACTTCCTTTCCATTGCAGAGGGAGAGGTATGAGCACACACAATTTTCTCCACGCCCCATTGGATGTCACTCCTAAAATGACTGGTTTTCTTATAGCTTTGGCTCTGTGCCCCCTCCTTCCCTGCACCTACCTTCACCACAAGCCTTTCCCCTTCCATCCTATATTCAAATCTTCTGCATCCTAAGAAGAGCAATCCTTCCTCCTTTAGCACTGAATCTCTTGAAAGAGCAGTCTACTCCTGCCTAATGCCCATTCCTTGCCTTTCATTTGTGATTCAGTCCACTGCAGTAACACCCTTCACCCTCAAACACTCCACTGAAACACGCCTCAGAGCAGCAGACATCTTCAGCGCAGTGATCTCTTGTCAGGTTCCAATACCAGCTGAACGCCAGGGATTTCCAGTTCCATCTACGCTATGGCATAGCCCTCGTACGTGCTCTCCCTCTCTCACTCCCCATCTCAGTTCCAGACAATTCCATGCATATACTCCCACTTGAGAGCCTCAACGTTTCCTTCACCCTCTCTCTAGCTCCACTCCCACATCCAGACTTCCAGGCTTTTCTGCAGCCTCTCCTCATCACATGCCTCACCACTCTCCAGACATTGATGGACTTAATCCCCTCTGGCCTTTTCCCCTGTGATTCCTGCATCGTGTTATTGCCTCTGCCTGAAATATCCATCTGACTGAAACTGTATGGGTGACTTCTACTACCTCTGGAGAGACCACTCCAAGCAGCGTCCTGTAAGGGCTTTACCCACCACCCTACCCCATCTCCCCCCAGCACCCTGCCCATAGGCACCCTGCCCCCAGGACCAGAAGAGTTCCCGTCACTTTGTGTCAGAGCTGGCTGTGTCTGCCTCACTCATTGACCTTTGAGTGCTTCAGACAGTTTTTTTCAGTTCTGCATCTGAAAACTGTTCAGAAAACTGTTCATATACCCAGAAAACTGTTCAGACCCCTTGCAATGGTTCAGAAAAGGTTACATTTCACAGAAGAATGTAAGAGTCTCTTGTTTCTGAAGCGTGTAAGACTTTGTCACCTACCGTTTCAGGGCTGACACTTTTTTAGGAGACTTCTTTTTCAGTTTGGGCAGGGATCTGTCCTGTTCAAATCCCTCATTGTCTAAGAGTTGCCTCATGGCTATGTTCGCCAGCTGCTCCATTAACTTGAAGGTCTCATTGATGTTGAGAAAGACGGAGAAGAAATGTTCACTGGACCTCGTGCTCACTTTGATCACATCAGGCAGGAGCAGCGTGGCACTCTTCTCCAGCTGTGTGATGTCCACCCACCGGATCACCAGCTTGGCTGGGCACAGGGAACAAGCTGGTCAGCACCTGGCTCCTTAAAATCCCCAAAGGATCCTTCAGTCTCACCACCCAGCCCTCCATCTCGCTGAACTCTTCTGAGTTTGCATGGGCCATATTTGTTACTGTTTTGTTTGTTTGAGAGACAAATTCAGACCCCATAAATTCTGAAGTCATACTTATTATGGACTGAAGTCCACGTCAACAATGTTTATTACAGCTTTGGGGACTCTCTATTATTTAATAAACTTTTTTTTTTTTTTAAATAATGAGAATAGACTTCACTTGTTACATAGTTAAAACACAGTGTAGACTGAGTCATCACTACAAATCTATTTGGGGCATTCTGATGTGGTTTACGAGTTTGGGGCAACACCTCAGCAGACTTTCCCAAGCTTCCCTCTGACGTTCTAGACAGCTCACCTTCCCTTCCCATAAGGAAAGAATAAAAGCAAAGGTGGTTAATACTGAGGTACATCCAGCCCTGGCGGGGGACCTTCCCCTTCCAGTAGCTGCAAGAGTAATAGTTGACGAGTTTCTCTTCCTCGGGCATCCCGAACAGCCTGTGGAATTTCACAATGGCTTCTTTGAACTTCTCCGTGTCATCATCTTCCTTCACGTCGTTGATCTTGTTATACTCTGCAATGATGCCCTGGAGCAAGGAGAAAATGAGGCACACGAGTATTAACAAGACTAGGGCTGCTTTTTTTCTGCATGCTATAAATATTGGAAAGAAAAAAAAAACAATTACTCATGCTAGAATTTTTTTTTAATTTATGAATTATTTTTCAAAGGCAGCCCCCCAATTCTAATGCTTCCCACTACCGGGAAGCACTTGTGTACTAAAAGATCTTCAAATAACAATATCGATTTGATTATCTGTTTATGGGTGTTAATCGTTTTAAGAGGGTCACTTAGAATGAAGCCCGTGGTCTTAGTCTACAAATGAGGAGATAAAAAAATTTTGCAAATTCTACTGCTTTCCTAGCTCATCACGATAAAGTCACCCCAAAGGTCAGTTTCTGCTTTTCTCAAGATTACTAATTCATTAAGAGAACAGAGAGGACTGGCTTTCACGAGTCCAGGGAGGATCCATTTGGAACCGAGGCCTTGGGGATGAGCAGGCTTTGGAAGTGTGCTGTGTTAGGGAACTTCAGACAACCATGAGGGGGCATGAGGGCACTAGACCTCTGGGTGGGGAGAAGAAGCCACTTCAGAAGAAGGATGTACAAACCTTTCCCAGTTGGCAAATATACCTACAGCCCAAGTGACATTTCAAATTATCAATGCCTTTAGAGAGGTATTTAAAACACATATATATTATATATATATATTATATAAATTATATATATATATGAAATAAGTGAATAAATAAAAGTGAAATAAATAAATAAATAAAATAAAATAAAAGTAGCAGTTGGGTTTCTAGGCAACCCCAATAACCAATCAACTTAGAGTAAGCCTGGACACCCTCAGGTGGGATAATACCTGTTCCCCTGGACCACTTAGCAGGGCTCTGACCTGAAGTCAGAATAAGAGCATTAGAAGGGAGTAATGCATAACAAACCAAATGATGGCCATATTTTAAGTGGACAAACATTCAAATTGCATTATCCCAGATCTACTAAATACCAGGCTTCTAGAATGTTCATCTAAATTTTAAAAACAATATGTCTCTAATATGAGAGGATTTATGAGGCTGTAGAACTGAGAAACAACACTGGAACACTCCAAGGCCTAGTATATAATATCAATATGCTGGGTCTTGCCAACCAACTTCAACAGTAAAGGTAAGAGTCCCCCTAAGGTTCACTTCCCAACTTCTCCACCTTTAAGAAGAGAGAGGATCCAGAAGGCAGAACCTCTCCCTAGTTTGCTTATAATTTTTGTAGCCAAGTGGGCCAGCTGATGGAGCAAAGGGAAGAAACATCTCCCTCTTCTACGTTCTACAGGTACTACATCACATAAAACAGGTTTTCCTGATTCCAGGCAACAGCTCCACATAACTTTGAAAAATCACTACCATCCAAATATTTGGGATGCCCAATACAAATTCAAATACACAAAGGACAATGACATGGAATTCACAAAAAGGAAAATTAACTTAGCAAACATGAAAAAATGTTCAACCTTATAATTAAAGACAGAAAATTCAAACAGTAAGAGCCCAACTTTTACCTATTAAATCTGGGAAACCGTTTAAACAACCAGAATACTGAAAAGTGAGCAATGATGTAATTGCACAGGGATTCTAATATACTGACAACCTCTACAAAGGGCCACTAAAAAGGTGTAAACTTAATAATCAACGTTTTATAATCTGTAATCTATCCCAAAGGAATGAAATAAAAACTCCAGAAGAACTTATATGAACAAGTGTTCACCGTATGCTATTACTGTTTGTGCCTACCCCAACTGGTCTAGAATCTAAGGAGACTTCTAGAAAGAGAGGAATGGTATAGTCAATAGTGGGATGATGTTACATTATTAAAATAACAACGAAAAATTATGTAACAATACCAGTCAAGGAGACAAAGACGTGATATAAAATTATATGCACAGTAAGACTATTACGATAAAATGCACTCAAGAAATCTAGAAATAAATATACAAAATATTATCTATGGGTTTGAGTTATGGTTGCCTCTGCAGTTAATTATTACATTTATAATTTATAAAAGTTAATTAAATCTCAAAACAAATATATTTGTTGGTTCCCTTCATGATTGGACAACTGGGAATGCTTAAAGCATTCATTTGCACATGAATGACATTCTTTCACACATAATTGCATTAATAGCAATTCCTTCCTCATAATTGGTTTCAGGGGAATTAAATGTGACATTTTTGGTGTAATAAAAACAGTGAGAAGAACAGCTATTTGACATAATTGGTCTTTGTTTTATTTTCTGTTTTTTTGTGTGTTTGTTTTTGTTTTCCTCCTGGCTATTGTCACTTCTAAGTAATTTGTATCTATTATCCAAAAACGGACCATCTGAGGGAGGACTAGCAAGACCTAACTGAGGACCTCAGAAGTGCCTCCTGCACGGGGAAGAGGCCTGACGACCGTCCCCACACCAGTCAGCTGCCCCCTGCGACACGGTCAGATGAAGAACCTCACACTCTCTGTTTCCATTACTTCCCAGAAATTCAGACAAGTGACTCAGAAATGAAATGAAGAAGTTATAAAAATCAGAAGCGTTTTATCAATAAAACAACCCTCGGGTATTCGAGAATATTTTTTTGTTTGGAAACTCCTACATCCTCCTAGCTTCAAACTGACCCTTTCCAGCATCTTCCCTGCTCCCATCTTCACCCTCTTCACTATCTGTCTGGTTTCGTTAATCATGACCATGGAGTAGAAACTGAAATCAGCCATCCTGAAGCAGTGAAAAATATCCATCTTGAGGGGCAAAGGGTGGGGGAAAGGGAAGAGGGTGATATGTTACATGTGCTTTTGTGCTGTTCAACCCTCCCTAATTTTATGTGGTCCAGTTAAAATTCAGTTCACTCCCTCAAAAATAGCAGACCCTAAAAAGCAATGATATTCCACTTTTTTTTCTGATTATAAAACTACTACTTGAGGGGCGCCTGGGTGGCTCAGTGGGTTAAAGCTTCTGCCTTCAGCTCGGGTCATGATCTCTGGGTCCTGGGACTGAGCCCCACATCTGGTTCTCTGCTTAGTGGGGAGCTGCTTCCCTCTCACTCTCTGCCTGCCTCTCTGTCTACTTGTGATCTCTGTCTGTCAAATAAAATAAATAAACTCTTTAAAACTACTACTTGTTCGTGTAAAAGTTTAGTGAAAGAGAAGAAATCAGGTAGAAATTGGCCATCCTGTATAATTTTAATGAGAGATGAACTATCAGATCACTTCCTAGAATTCTTCCTTAATCCAGGTATAAAGAAAGGCTTTCTAACAACGACTAAAAATCTGGAAAGAATTTCTAATTTTGACTAAATAAAACATTTACATGTTCCATGGCAGAAACTATCATGAGCAAAGTCAAAAGGCAAATGACAAACTTAGGGAAAATATCTGTGGTATATATCACCAACAAAAGGCTGGTGGCCGGGCGCCTGGCTGGCTCAGTTGGTTAAGCTACTGCCTTCAGCTCAGGTCATGATCCCGGAGTCCCCAGATCAGGCTCCCAGCTCTGCGGGGAGTCTGCTTCTCCCTCTGACCTTCTCCCCTCTCACGCTCTCTCTCACTCTCTCTCAAATAAATAAAATCTTTTTTTAAAAAAGGCTAATGGCCTTTATATAAAAGACCTTAAAAATTAAGAAAAATAAGACCAAAATCCCATAGAAAAATAGGTGAAAGACATGAGCGGGCATTCTACAGATATAAAAATGGCCCATTAAGGATTTAAAAAGATATTCAACTTCATTCATAAGTGAGATAAATGCAAATTAAAACAACACTAAAATATTTCCCCCCATCAGATTGGCAAAAACTCAAAAGCCTGGTAATCTACTTTTTTGGTGAAGTTGTAGGAAAACAGGCATTCCCATATATGCCAGTGGGAATGTAAAATGGTACAATTCCTGTGTGTGTGTGGGGGGAGGATACGGCAATATTAAGCAAAATGACAAATTCATTTACCCCTAGATCTGGCAATCCCACTGCTAACAGTTTATCTTAAAGACAGATCCCCATAAAACAAACACACACACAAATGTATATGTATATACACACATACACATATCCATGTATATTATTATATGTGTGAATTTTAATTCATGCATATACTGTATGTTTGTGTGTGTATATATATATAATTATTTATAATTGCAAAATATTGGAAACTACTTAAATATCCAAGTGTAGAGGAGTGCTGAATTCTTTACAGTACACATACACATAATATTCACCTATTCGGAAGAATCAGGCACTCAGTGTAATGTGGGATCCTGGAATAGATCATGGGATAAAAAGACGTGAAGCGGAAAAACTGGTAAAATCCAAATAAAGTCTGTAGTAAACAATATTTTCTTTCTAAAGATCAATTTTTTTATTTGAGAGAGAGAGAGAGTGCACGCATGCACCATGAGGGGGTGAGCAAGGGGAGGAGCTGAGGGAGAGAATCTTCAGCAGACTCCACACTGAGTGCAGAGCCTGATAAGGGGCTCGATCTCATAGTCTTGAGTTTGTGACCTGAGCAGAAACCAATAGTCAGATGTTTAACTGACTGAGCCACCCAGGTTCCCCTGTAGTTAAACAATATTGCATTATTGTTCATTTCTTAGTTTCGATAAATATGCTATGGTTACAGAAGATGCTAATATTAATGAGCTAAGTGGTAGGGTCTACGGGAATTCTCTGTCCTATCTTTACAGTTCTCTTGTAAAACTAAAAATTAATATTTCTTTTTTTTTTTAAGATTTTATTTATTTATTTGACAGACAGAGATCACAAGTAGGCAGAGAGGCAGGCAGAGAGAGTGGAAGGGAAGCAGGCTCCCCGCGGAGAAGAGAACCCGATGCGGGGCTGGATCCCAGAACCCCGGGATCATGACCCAAGCCAAAGGCAGAGGCTTTAACCCACTGAGCTACCCAGGCGCCCCAAAACTTAATATTTCAAAATAAAAACAAAACTATTAAAATGTTTTTTTAAAAAACAAACAGCAGGGGTATCTGGGTGGCTCAGTGGGTTAAAGCCTCTGCCTTTGGCTCAGGTCATGATCTCGGGGTCCTGGGATCGAGCCCCGCATCGGGCTCTCTGCTCCGCGGGGAGCCTGCTTCCTGCCCCCCCACCCCGCCCCGCCTGCCTCTCTGCCCACTTACGATCTCTGTCTGTTGAATAAAGAAATAAATTTAAAATTCTTTAAAAAAATAAATAAAAAACAAACAACATGCGGATACTCTCTATGAACCAATACAAAGTGTTACCCGAGAGTTACTGAGTGAAAAGAGCAAATGCAGAGGAGAATATATACATTAAGGCTTATGTATAAGATTTAAAGAGAAATCGGAAAAATACATACATCTGCCTCTTTTTACAAAAAGAAACACAGGAAGGATAGATAGACCAGATAACAAGGAAGTTAGTTAACTACAAGGGGTTGGGGAGAACAAGGTAGCAAGAATGCAAAAGAGAGTAATTTAAACTTTTGGAAGTTTGGGAAATTTAAACTTTTGGAAGCATGCTAATATTTTTTACCTGCAAAAAATATTAAACTAACATAAATTAACAATGTTAGAAGAAAGGGTCTGAAACTGAAAGCAAATGGAAACAGGGCTGATTCCAGGACTGGGACAGAGAAAGTACAAGATGAGTCTGGGACACAGGGTGCCTGGGTGACTCCCTTGGTTAAATGTCAGCCTTCGGCTCAGGTCATGATCCCAGAGTCCTGGAATCAAACCCTACATCAGGCTCTCCACTAAGCAGTGAGTCTCCTTCTCTTTCTATGATTTCTCTCACTTTCATTCTCTCTCAAATAAATAAAATCTTTTTTAAAAAATGATGAATCTGGGATATCCCGCTATAGCTGAAGTAAACAAGTGTTCAAAAAAGTAACAAGGACATGACACGAGGATGAAGAAGGCACGCTGTAGGTTTGGGACAGTGCGAGCACCAAAATAATTAAGTCTAGGAGGGAAACGTAAACAACTGAAAACCAGAGGAATCCATGAGTCCGTAACAAAAATAAATCGATGAATAAATGCCAAGAGAGCTCTTGCTTATAACAGAATAACAGGTGCCAAATGATAAATGTGAGAGAATGCTGGGGTTGGGAAACGATTGTTTTGTAAAAACGTCACAGCCAAGATTGGTTCAGACAAAAAAAAAAATCATGAATGGACACTAACTCATGGGGAAATTTTGATAAGGAGTGGGATATCTGTGTAGCCTTAAATGAAGTGTTTTCTCACAGAAAATTTCAAATTGTTTATTATTGGAAAAGGCAAGATTAGTAACTCTACAGTAGAGAACTCAGGTAGGTAACGCCTTTCTGGCTTTCTATCCTCCACGAGGAGAGATACCACGTCCCTCCAGAAATGCTCCTCTGACAAGGACGTAAGCGTTCCCCCTGGGCATGCATCATCAGAATCAGATCCTAGGAAACGTGACAAAACCCAAAATGGAAAATGTCCCGTTTAAAAAAACGAACAAACAGAACTACATACTTAAAAATATGAATGTCCTAAAAGACAAAGAAAGGCAATGGAAACATTCTAGATTGAAGGACACAAGAGATGAAAACAAATTCAACAGCCTCCCAGACTGGATCTTGCACTGGACTGAAAGGGAAAAAATGGTAGACACTGATCAATTAACAAGACAGGGATATGTACCAAATATTAGAGTAGAACGTTAATGTTCAGTCTATACTGCAGTGTTATTATTTAACAGAATATTCTTAGAAATACACACTGAAGTATTAGGGAGGAAATTCCACTCAAATAAAAAGTAAATGAGCACTCAAATGATAACATAAATGGGGTAAACGTTAAGACCAGGAGAGTATGCAAAAGGTCTACAAGGCTCTTATTTTTATAACTTTTTTGTAAATCTTAAACTATTTCCAATTAAAAGTTAAAACAAAACAAACAGGGGCGCCTGGGTGGCTCAGTGGGTTAAGCCTCTGCCTTCGGCCCAGGACATGATCTCAGGGTCTTGGGATCAAGCCCCGTGTCAGGCTCTCTGCTCAGCAGGGAGTCTGCTTCCCCCTCTCTCTCTGCCTGCCTCTCTGCCTATTTGTGATCTCTGTCTGTCAAATAAACAAATAAAGCTTTAAAAACAAAACAAAACAAAACAAACAGCACATTACCTGTATTTTTCCTCTCACAAATGTGGTGATATCGTTCTCATTTTCAAAGATGGAGAGGGTCTGCAGTAGATTCTGCTCCAGCCATTCCCAGTGCTCGGTGATTTCTTTTCTGGAACCGCCTGTATGAATAATAAGATGATTTTAAAAATGATAATAAAATTTGTGAATTTAAAAGATACTTAAACAGGCTCACTTCATCAAGATGCACTAAAGGAGACCCCCATCCCAACAGCTCTGCCTTGAAATGCTTTGTCCCTTTCCGAAGAGACCCAGAAGACTCATAAGGATATGGAAACCCAAGAGTAAGCACTGCGTCAGAGTCAAGTGTGACCAGGTGGGTTCAGAAACTTCTCCGACACTGTCTCCAGTTAGAAGGTAGCAATGTTTCTCCCACTCATTCTCTGAATTGAGACTTGAGCACGACCCTCCACTAATCTCCCTCCTAGAACCTCCATGCACGTCACAGGCTAACCTAGATCTCCCTAGGGGCCTAGGTTACCGTTGTTAAGTTGCAATAATCTGAGAGTTCTGGTGTGCCACTGGAGGTCTGCGGTAACCACCTCCTATAATGGGCAAAAAAGAACCTCACTCACTTCAATTATGAATGAGATGTGACAGGGGACAATTGCTAGGGAACAGTGGCCTGGCTCTCGCGAGCACCGCTGCCTTGAAATGTAATGGGATGAGGTCACCCTCAGAGCCTCTGAGCAAGTCATTCCCTTTCGGTCAGGGCTAAGAAGCATTAAGTCACCTCTCCTAGCAGGCTCCGCACTCAAACCACCCCGACCTTGTAGCCTATGTAATAGGCACCGCTCTCCCCTCGCCACTGCGGGGCATCCCATGGATGAACGGCGTCAGGATGTGCTTGGAAAGACACTGAGCTAAATTCCTTTCCCTTCCCCTTTTATTCTTGCTCTGGGATTGTTAACGATCTTGCAGAAAACCAGGTTGTATAAATCATTCATAGACATATATATAGATGGTAGGCACCGCTCATTCCAGAATTAAGGAATGATTTTCTGATTCCACTGATTCATCAACCTCCAGGCCTCTCCTCAGATTTCCAAGCTTTCTTCTCCTTGATTTCTTAACAGTGTCTTTGCTACTCTTTGTTCTCTGTCACCAGTAATTCAAGGGAAGTCAGAATCTCACTCTGACTCCTGACAAAGAAGGGCGGAAGACACGAATGGGTCTACAATGATACTCAGAATCGCAGAACTAAAATCTCCTTGAGGTGAGGTCTCAGAACTGTTGTTTAAGGAGAGGGAAAACCAAACCAAAGCCAAGTTCATTTTCTTTTAAGACTAAACACCAAAACTGCCTAAATGGAATACCGACCGATGGAGAGGACGAGAAGCCGATTTGTTAGTGAAAAGGCAGTCCTGTGAAAGCATGGAGAAACAGACTGCAGCTCTCTTTGGGCTTTACCCATGGCCATTGTCAACCACATGTAAAGGCAACTGAAGACTGTACTACAATGTCAGGGAGAAAGCTAGGACTCAGGACACGTGGGTCCCCTCCCGTTGCCATTAGCCAGCTGGATGACTTTAGACAGTTTGTTTAATCTGTAAAATGGAGATGAATGAAACACACACACACACACACACACACCTCTTTCCATCTCAGAGCAATGCTATAGAAATCCCAAGGAATAATGTCCACAGAGATACTTTGGAAAATAGAAAATATTTTTCAGATGCAAAGAATAATGATCGTTTGGAATATTTAGGGGAATGAGTCATTCTGGAGTCTACCAGAGAGCTTTCAAACATTTTAGAGTTTAAATTTTTCAGTAGTCACTGAAAAAAAATTTTTTTTAAAGATTTCATTTATTTGGGAGAGAACAAGCGAGTGAGCACGGGCAGGGGAAGGGCAGAGGGAGAGGGAGGAGCAAACTTCCAGCTGAGCAGGTGGCCCAACGCAGAGCTCGATCCCAGGACCCTGAGATCAGCATGACCTGAGCCCAAGGCAGATGTCTAACCGACTGAGCCACCCAGACGCCCCGGCTGCTGGAAAAATTTCTAAAATATACTGTTTGCCCTTCATTGTCTGAAAAGAGGTTGCTACCGTCCTCGGCTGCCAGGAGCCCTCCACCCCGGCCACCTGTGCTCGTTGGCACTGGCAGGTGTGGGCACCTGAGGACAGAGGCAATCCTGGAGACCCACGGGACTGCTGAGCTTCTGCAGACCTGTCGGGCACAATTCCCAGCATCTGTCTGATCTTGCTTCTTTTGCCCCTGCCTATGCTGACTGCAGATGTGCCTTCCAGAGGCTGGTTTTCACATGCTATCTCATCATGCTCTGCCCTTGACCAGGTAGTCACTCCAGGTACTTGAATTTAGAGCCCCTGTTACATTGGCTCTGGAATTCAACCTCCACTCAACCTCACTAATCCTCAATCATCCCGGATAGAAAAGTCCATCAGCCACAAGACCTAGAACGGAACAGGTGTGCCTTCAGCTTTGCACATGCTTCAAAGTGTTCTTTCTGCACATATTCACGTAAGAACACCCACCCATGCACACACGCAGGGTAAAAATGGCGTATGCATGCATATACTCATTCAACAAACACCTACTCATAATTCCAATTGCCGTGGATAGAATACAAAGACATTATGGCTAATTCCCATCCTTTTTTTTTTAAATATATTTTTTAAGGTTTTATTTATTCCTTTTATAGATAGAAAGAGGGAGCAGGGGAGGGGGCAGGGGAGAGGCAGAGGGAGAGGAAGAGGGGGAGAAGTGCTCTCCACTGGGCGTGGAGCCCGACACACAGGACTCCATCCCACAACCCCGAGATCATGACCTAAGATGAAACCAACTGGATGCCTAATTGCTTAACCAATTCTGCCACTCAGGTGCCCCTCCCATCTTTAAGTAAGCCAGCCGAGTACTATGGTACTAAAGTTCAGATTTACTACAAACATTGTTTCCCCACCTACTGCCTTCTCTGCTATCCTAGGATCTGCTGTGACCCACCCCATCGCACTGTCCATCATTTCCGTGATCCCCACCTTCTACCACCTAACACCATTTGCACCATTGGCTTTTCTCCCTACTTCTTGTTGCCCAGGATGTAAATCCCCACCTTTCTATCTTCGATTACTGCCACTGCCCCCCACAGATGCTGCTAGTGAGGTTTCCATTCTGCTCTCCATCTCCTGTTGTTTCTCCCATACTTGTGAGTGTCACAGGAAAAGGCTAGGTTTCTAGAGTTATCCTGAGCCACTCACTGCTCCCACATAGGAAAGGAGCTGCCACTGCATATCTCCACATCTTTCAGCATGCTCGGCGCCTTGGGTCTGCTTCTGTACTACGGAACAGGTTTTGGCGGTTTCTTCTGGCTCTATCTACATCTAAGATTTCAAAGTTCCCGAAGACTGAGATCTAGATACGGAAGGACTTTGTGTACCATGATATGAAACCTTTATCACCATATACTATTTGAGGAGAGAAAAGATACAAACGCCATCAGCCAATGGTAGTTTCAGGAATTAACTATGGATACTTATCTATACCCAAAAGATACTTCCTAGGGCAAGTAATGAAATATTCCTTTTAAGTTTATTGCTTCCTATAGAACAGCACCACATTCTCTGAACTCTTCCCTAAACACCCCAGGTTCTGGGGACTAGAAGTATGATCAATATCGACAAAGTAGAGCTGGAGTCCGTGACCCAGCCGATGAGACAAATTCTGAAGATGCCACCCTTGTAAAAAGTATTTCTGGAATCAGGCGCCCATTTCTGCCCACTTCTCACTCCAGACCAGGGCCCACATTACCTCTCAGAGATCACAGAGCAAACGTCCTGTTAACTGAGACCCACTGTCCTTCTGCCGGACCGCTCTTCAGGAATGAGTGAAACTCTGCAGGAAAAGGGTTGGTATCCTACAGGTTCCTTATAATAGCTCTTTCCTTTCTCAAGACACTAAATACAAGGGCTGCCTATTTAAGATCTTGGAAGTTTTCTTCTGTTACTTTTTAAGGTGAGGTAACACATGGAGCTCTTGTGCTGTGAATAGGGACTGGTCTGTTCGCCCAGCAGTTCGAACAGAAGGTGTTAGAAACTCAGAACAAGAAAGGGAGGGCCTGGCGGTCCATTTTCTGGAAACGCTTCATTTATAGAGATACAGCAGGACAAACAAGCTGACCCGACTGTGTGATCAGCTGGAACTACAAAGAAAGCTGGTGCTGGGCATGCGAACCACTCAGAAAATCCAAGTCAATCCAGGTTGCAGCATCCTGCTGTGGTAAAAACTAGATCAACACCTGATGGGCTTAAGGTTACTTAGAAATTAATTGTGGGAAAATGGGAATCTTTATCTCTTGGACTGGTGGTTTTTGTCTTGTTTGTTTGTTTTTTAAGATTTTTTTTTTAAATTTATTTGACAGACAGATCACAAGTAGGCAGAGAGGCAGGCAGAGACAGACAGGAGGAGGCAGGCTCCCCGCTGAGCAGAGAGCCCGATGCAGGACTCGATCCCAGGACCCTGGGATCATGACCTGAGCCGAAGGCAGAGGCTTTAACCACTGAGCCACCCAGGCGCCCCCTTGTTTGTTTGGTTTTTAAGAACACTAGCCACAGGGGCGCCTGGGTGGCTCAGTGGGTTAAAGCCTCTGCCTTCGGCTCAGGTCATGATCCCAGGGTCCTGGGATCGAGCCCCACATCAGGCTCTCTGCTCAGCAGGGAACCTGCTTCCTCCTCTCTCTCTCTGCCTGTCTCGCTGCCTACCTGTGATCTCTATCTGTCAAATAAATAAATAAATAAATCTTAAAAAAAAAAGAACACTAGCCACAGGCCCTGTTGCACCTATCTGTGCAAAATCGGAACATGATTTAAGATGACGAAAAATACAAAATCATCCTAGTCTAGTGTCTCATCTAACTTTACATGTATCTTCAAGTACATAAGGACTACTTGAAATAAGAAGGAAGAAGATTAAGATGGACCCACGATTTGATTCTCCCATATCTAGCCTTTGAGGATTAAGAACAAAGGCTTACAGCCCTACCGATACATAATCAGCAGGTATTTCTTTGTGCTGCATGGTCACCTAACTTCAAAACCTATACTGAAGGATGAGTAGCTACCATTTATATCCACATGGATGGGACTG